ATTCATTGAAAAACCCTTTATCACTGGYCTGTCATGGTAAAAGTAATTTCCTTTACATGTTTACAGCAAAAGTTATCCTTGGACCTGATAGTCGTTCTAAAGGATTTGGTTTTGTAACAGTAAATACTGCTGATGATGTTGTACAAGCATGCCATGAATTGGATGCCATGGTGAGATGAAGATTATAATAATAATTATTATTATTATCATTAACTTCCATGTCGTCATCAGTAATGACATAAAGCTAGACCACAATGCRTTATGATATTGTATTTCAGAAAAGGTCTTTGCTAGACTACTTCAAACGTTTGTAACTACAGACAGTACATACTGTACCAACTAGCTTGTTACTTATCAATTTTCGATTTTAGATATTTCGGTTCGATGACTATGTACAAAAGAACGCATGCGAGGCTCCGGGAAAATAATGGATAATCTTGATGTATTGTTTTGTTTCTCCGCGGAGCCTCGTCTGCAATTCTTTTGTGCATGGTCACTGAACGAAAATATCTTAAGTCGGCTATTCCCTTATTGCTCATCAGGAGTACAATGGCCGCCGCCTGAAAGTATCAGAAGCTCACAAAAATAATCAATCAAGTAGAGGCAGCAATTCTCATCATAATAGAAGTAGTAACAGAGAGAATGAAATTGATCCAGAGTTTGGAGTTGATCCCAACTTTGGCARGGGATATAACAGTAGAAATGCTGGCAGCAGTAAAAGCAGGGATCATGRAATTGATCCAGAATTTGAAGTTGATCCCAAGTATGGCACAAATGGTGGAAGAGGAAGCAGTGATAATGACATAGATCCAGAGTTTGATGCTGAAAGTGATCTAAATCAAGGAAGAGGCTTAAGAGGAGTGGATGGTAGCAAGTTTAGTGATGGAAGATATTACTAACTGAAGGTAATGAAAATAATTGATTAATTGATGATAACAATTAATTGATATAGAGTACAATGTGCCTAATATATATAGTGTACTTAATTTGTAATCTGCTTTTCCAGTTTTACATAATGTCACTTATTAATTCAATCCATATGGGTGGGTTATGGGGTGTACAATGCCCTTGGGAGG